GTTCTTCACAAAAAAGACTCTGCTCTCTCAGTCCTGGTCCTCAGTGCAAAGCACAGAACACCTTTGAAAGACAAGATTATGGACTGCAATTTATAACTTCACTGAATACTCACAATTAGGGACTCGGCAGAAGTGGTCTTTAAAGGCACATTGCAATTTTCAATATTCTCTGTTCCAAGCTAAATCTTTGTGGTCTCACAAGCAGTAATTACCTGTTGTGCCTTGTGTCCTGCAGGTGATAATCCTCTCACTCTGTCTTTGGTAGCATCAGGCCTCTGTCTAACCACTCCTGCCTTTCCAAAGCAAACATTGTGTGGGATGACAGGATTCTGTGGCCTGGTAACAGCCACCTCTTTGCTCCTTCAGGTTTTATCTGCAGTAACAGGGCTTTAGTTATGGGCCTTTTCCAAGAGCTCTGAATACCCCTGAGCTGTTCTATTTAAACCTCCTGGGGAACTCAGTGTCTTGACTTTTGTATCACACGCAGCATTAAATGTGCTGTTGTAAGTTAATTCTCATCCCTTCATCAAGACCTTTCATGGACAGACCCTCTTGTTCCCTCCTTCTTCTCCTACCTCCACTATAATGGGAACATGTCCCTTTGAACCATTTCTTGTCTTGAAACCTCATCAATTTTTCCCTTTAGCTGATGGCAGTTCATCACTGCAAAATAACATGTGACTCTGAGGGGCACTACAAAAAATACTTGAGGTTCACTTCAGAAACAATGGTGGAGTGACAGCAAAGGTGAATGAGGAGGGTCAAGAGAACTGATCCCTCCCCTGCTTAGTCTCATCCAGGATCCTCAGCAGTTAATGGCTGAGCAGGTTTCTTGCAGCTAACTTCTCAGCCATGAAGCAGCACTCAGCTCACCTTGGTGCCTCTGCAGCATTCCTGGTATTCACATCCACTTTCCCACTCCTCTTTATTTGGCTTCCCTGAATTCATGGCCAGGAACCACCCCTGTTTCTTAGGAGTAAATCATGCCGTGTGATTGAAGCTGGCTTTTTTTGGGAGCCAAGCCAGCACACAGTGGCCACAAAACAACCACAAACTGGCTTTGCTGCTGCCGGTTACAAACAGTGCCTGGAGCTGACTTCACTTGGATGCTTGCTGGCTTCCATCCATGGCTTTCTGACCTGACCAGTGGAGCAGAACGCTTAAGCCATATAAGTGCAAGGCAGGGGTTGTATTTTGGGTTATTTCAGATTATCAGACACTCAATCTTGTATCTGGCATAATCATTGTTTTATTGTCTGTGTCCTCTTTTAGCTAGAAGCACACTCTGGAAGTGGACAGAAGCATGGCGAATCCAGCTCTTGCTATTGAATTCCTTCCCAAATGAGGCTACATTCTACCTTAAAGGGTTTTGATTACCACAAAGATGGAGAAAGTGAAGATAATTGTAAGAATTATATAAAACCAAAACCCCTGCCTTGGCAATTGGCTTTAACTAGGGCCTTGACCTATTTGACCTTTTCCAATTTGTGGAAAAGAAAGTTGAATGATGGAACCACAATTCATAAGTATCTGTTTTGCCTGTTGGATCAAACAGAAAAACACCTAATAAGCTCCACTGACGTGGAACTTGCAATGCAGAAATTTGTAGAAGAGATAGTAATGTCATGAAGATGGTTCATCAGTATATGAGAACTGAAAATCTATACCTGTTTGTGAAGTAATCCTGTGTGATGCTCAGTTACTAGGCTCTAATGCTGCCTGCAGGATTTTAGTGACCGCACGAACAGTACGAGTGGTGCAGTTTGAACTGGAGTGTTTATTCATATGGGAAGCGAGTGTTTGGTCCTTCTGTTCACATTTATCAGAGCCTAGTGACAGGATGGGATTTCATATCGTGATCTGTTGTGCACACTGGAAATTTTGAGAAATGAGCATATCTGTTTGCAAGATTATTCAAATAAGCACTGCTGGGGACTTGTGCTCTCCTGTTTCTCCCTGGTTTAGTTGTGCATTTCAGAAGTACATGAAATACATGCTAGCTGATCCTGGCTGTTAAGCCAAAACTAAGGCTGATATCTGTCTATAGGGTTAGTCTTCATTGCTGGGACAGGACTGGACCCTTGGAGAAAGAAATAGTTCCACCTGTTCTGCTGAATATTCCATGATACACTCCTGATGAGAAGTTCTTCCCATCATGAAGGCATTAAAATTGTCTTTGAGAATCAGTGGGGCTTTATGATACTAAACTTGACATTTCTGAGTTTGTGGCTGGATCCCACCATCTTATTCAATGCGCAAAGAAGAGAAGCAGTGACTTCAGATGCTACTGGCAGGCTGCACATCCACAGTCAACAGCAAGGCTCTGAAGGCTGGGAAGAGGATGTTATTGCTGTTGTTTCCAGGCCATCTTTTTGAAATTCAGCTGACTTCAGTGCAATCTGCTTGGGACTCCTCATGGGGGCCGGGGGAGAGTTAATGAGCAGCGTGGTCAGCCTATCTGGGGACCTCTGAAGGTGATGTTCACCTTCAGGAGCTATACAAGGTTTGGCCAAGTTGGATAGAAGGTTGCCAGGAGCTAAACTGGACATGTCCTCTTTCTGCAGGTCTAAGGTTGAGTCTGATGTCTTGGTCAGCTAGCTGTTTGGTACTGCTTTTGTCATTCACATGGTGGTGTTGGGGGACTGTATGAAGACTGTGGAAGACTGGGAAATCAAACCCCAGATTTTTCCTATTGCTTTAAGTTTATCTGAGATTTGTAAACTTTGGAGGCTGTGAAGTTGCACTGCTGCTCTAGAACCAGGTAAGGAAAGGTGGAGGGGTCTTGGCAGGAATAGGATTAGGTTGGTCCACCACCATGCTAGCAGTAGGGCCAGGGGCTGTCAGCAGCCCTTCCAGTGAGGAGTGCAGTAAGGGAGGAAAGGACTTGGACCAAAAAGGTGTTAAAACATCACCGATCCTCATGTGCAATATGGTTGGGAAATACTATTGTAAAATAGCTCAACCTGTAGGTAAAACAACACGTAGGGTCAATATATGTTTAATACTGCGACTAGTCTACTAACTAGTATACGAAAGCTGTTGCCTTCCCTTTGATAATCTAAACAACCATTTTAGGTATTGAGAATGGCAAACACATTTAGAGGTACAGACTAACAGACTTTAACTTCCCCTTTCTCTAGCTAAACACATTTAGTAAAAGTTTGGTTTTTCTTAACAGTCCTTGAGGATGCTGACTTCTCAGCATAATGTAAAGTTGGCTTGTGATGACCCAGTTAGAAATCTGGGCACCTCCACTGTTAATTTGGGCAATAGATTTAATTAAAAGCAAATATTTAAATTCAGAAATAGGATATGAGGTTGGCACTGGCATCTGTCATCAAAGTCTTGGTTTGTCCCTGCTTTAACAGAAAGCCATTTAGATCTGCAAAGAATGTAGGATCTTCTTTAGAACACAAATATCCCTTAGGCTCTGTTCTGCCACAATAGTCTACCTGCCACCTCAGTAGAAGTATCTACCATCTTGACAGAGATGTGAAAGTGAGACTGAAGGGAAGGCCAATTGTCCAAGGAAATGTTTCAAAGGAGAAGTTACCCAAGGGTGGAGTGGGAACGAAATCCCTGCTACACTGGTCGACCTATGGAGCTGGTAAGTTCACTGTATTCTGTTAGGAAGGAATCGCTGGCTAGTATTGCTGGAAGTAGGGGTTCAGGCTGGCTGACAGAGTGAAACTCCAAATGGAAGATCAAAGATTTGACTATTAGCTGTGCTAAATTCCTGTCAGATTTCTCTTGGAGATCAAAGGACCCCTTAAAAAAGGAGGAGCTGATTCCCCTGGAAATATCCTCTGCTCAGTACTGGCCTTTCATGTATGTCCCAGCTTAGGGGTGAGACCTGGACCTCTGGGATATGGTACAAATGTGCCCCTTGAAGCTTTCTGCTCTGGAAGGAAGCAGCCTTGGGGTTGCTTTAACATGCATTTGGGGTTCAGCAGGTCCCACAGAGTTCCCCAGTGTGGGATGCGTAATAAATAGGCTTAAATTAAAAGGGGCTTAAACCCTTCTCACCTAAGTGCTGCAGGGGTATAACAGATATTTGCATGCCCAAATTCAATAAACAACCACACCACTGATCACCACAAAAGTGACCAGTATGTGTGGGAGAAATTAGTATTCTCTAACCAGCCTATTTATTCTCACCTGCTAATACTTTTCTTCATATGATTGATTTTGAGCATTGTTCATGACAAATACGTAAGCAGCACTTTGCAAAATGGCTGCTAAAAAATGTAAAAGCTCTTCAGCTTCTGCGAGTCGCAATAGGGGTCAGACCCATAACAGGTCTGCATAAATGGACAGACATTGTTCATTAAAATAGAACTTCCCAAAGGAACTGATTATCCAAAGGAAGCCATTCTTTCACTTTTGTTCTTTTTCTTGCTCTTTCATACAGTGCAGTTATTGGATTTATATGTATTTTATACAAGCAACTACAGAGAGAATGTAGCAACCAAGTGAAAGTAACGGGAAGTCAAAAGGCATGTCTACAGCTGGATCTGGTTCTGGAAAACCTGTGAGAGAACAAGAGTTCTTCATCTATCGAAGACACTACATGATGTAAGGCTTGGAAGTCTGTGTTAGCAAACTTAGGCAAGAGACAGCATGCACAGTTTTTTACTGTAAGGTAAGTCCTTGTTGCATTAAGTTCTCTTGAGTATGAGATCTCTGCTGTTGCACGGTGCTTTCAAATTGGGGTACACATCTTCCTGAAAATGCTGCTGTGGATAAAGTCCAAATTGTTCCTGTGGTGGCAGGAATCACGAGGTGCAATTTTGTGCCCCCTGTTGCACCTGGGTGAGATGCTGCTGGGATGGTGGATATGCTGGTCAGCAGTGGTCTCTGCACAGCCACACTGATTGCTGGAGAAGGCTTGCAGGACACTGTAGCAGAGGAGTGTGTTAATTTTTAAGGCAGATAAAGGAAGTGGCTTTGCTTGCTTTTATGGAAAGTGCTTCCAAAAAGGAAGGGCATCATGGAACAGCTGTCCTCCATGAAGCTACCTGATGGAAAGTTCAATAAGTGGTTAATACCATGCAAGAGATCTCAACATAGCAGCTGCAGAGTGTGAGAGGGAGGAATGTAGGAGGACTGGAGGAATAAAAAGCCCTAAGAATAGCCCATGCAGTCTCTCTGGGCCTTTCTCCCTCTTCTGAAAGTTTTCCCTTTCTGGCAAATGCTTCCACAGTAGCACTTAAATGATGCTTTGGTGTTCCTTACATACACAGATGTCTATCCTGGATGGTGCTACTGTGGTTCTGCCTTGAAGGTCAGGCAACAGCTTCTGCTTTTGTGCAGATCCTGTGCTGATGAATGGGAGAACTGCTAATGTAAAGGTTAGAAAACATTCAGAATTAATCTGTGGCATTGAGCTGGGTGTACAAAACAACTGGGTGAACACTGCATGGCTGGTGTGTCATGAAAGATGGACACTTCTCTCTTAGCCCACTTGTAGAAAATGAATATCTACATTTCTCACAAAGAAGTGAACTAGGATTTAGCTTTCTCAGGGAAGGATGACCAAATTGAATGATCATCTGTCAGGATGACTTCCTGTTGACTGCTGCCTGAGACCAAGCGTTTTATAAATGTTGATGAGGCTTTACATCCACACAACCGTTCTCCCTCTTCAATTTAAGCTAATACTTCTAGAAGTAACTTTGCAGACTGTGCTGGTTGCTGCTGTTCTCCTGTTAGACACAGAAACCCACAGGCAAAAAGTTATTCGCCTATGACTAAGAGCAGACTCTTGTAATCCTGTCCTATTTGAGTTCATAATGCTGAATTTGCTTCTGTTCCACCTGAGTCTTACATTCAGCTCTGCACTGGGTTCAGAGGTGACAGCAATGGGGCAAATGTTCCTGACGTAACACCTACAGGGCATTTCATTTTGGAGTGATGCATGCCACATCAAGAATGCAATTGGTCAATTGTCATTAAAGCAATTAAAAATACATGGATTAGGAGATTAGCCCAACAATTAGGTGCAGTGACTATCTCCCAGGGGATCTTTTCTCCTTGCAGCATGCAGATCTGTACATTTCATGGATAGATGTGTCTTTTTCTTTCACATCTGTTGAAGCTCCGACGCCAGGCATTCAATTACAACAAATAAAAAAACCAGTTGATTTCTTTTGCAGGTATTTTCATGGTATCTGAGGAAAAGAAGTAGATTAATGGGTGTGTGAAATAAGGAAGGCTCAGTGGATCAAAGCGTGCTCTGGAAGGGATGACATATCCCCACCCTCAGCCTCTGTGCTGCTGTCTTGTTGCTTCAGTTTCTCCATGTGGAGATGGAGGAAAACATGAAGAATGAGGAAAGCATTCACTCATTTGGGTAACTATTGAGATTAATGTTTCCAGTGGGTGTAAAAGGTGGTCAAGCCATCACATGTCCAATTGCTTGGCACCCCCACCCACATGTGTGCCAGTGAGTGGTCCAGGTAGCTGGACCCCATGAATTTCAAAGCCAAAGGGATCTGGGCAGCATCTGCTCACTGCTCTGTGTTTTGTTCTGTGACACTCATTTCCTGCGTCATGCCTCCTATTCTGAGCATCCTCTCAGGGTGTAAATTCTGACATGTGTTTGCTCAAGTCTCTGAGCAATCCTGAGCAATGGTGGCTCAGGATTCCTGTGTACTTCTGTTCTGTGAATCTTCATAATTATATCTTGTTTGCGGTTGCCTGGTTTCTTGTGTAACCCCTTGAGGGATTATGTGCCTAGAAGGCACAAACAGAAGCTTTGCAAAGGGAATTTTTAACTATGTTTGCTTCATTGCTACATACAACTTCAACTGGAGATCTTCGCACAATACCCTGAGTCCTTAGATCCAAATGCACTCATCTGATCTTGCCCCCTTCACAGTCTGAAAGCCTCCCTGTGTACCAAATATAGCAGTCTTCCCCGCTGTCTTTCTCTGGCAAGCTCTTTTATACATGTAGATGCTGCCCTCCAGCTGTTTCATCAATCCTGTTGCACATCCCGTCTCCTCTTTCACATATGCCTGAGCTGAGCAGCTGGAGCTCATCCTTGCACCCAGCTTTTGGGTAGAGAATTCATGGATGGTGTCACGACTTAAGGTACTAGATGTTCCACGAGCAGCTGTGACTGCAGTGCCTTTCTCCTTGTGTTTGTTCAGAATGATAATCTTGATGTTAGCACCGTTTCGGGAGCTGATGCTCATTTCAGATGAAGTTCATGGACTGACTGCATTGTCTTCATCAACTTCTAAGCGCAAATTACAAACGTAAGGAAGAAGGTGGAGAGGAATTGCAATTCAGTGCAAACTCATCCTGCTGTGTCACACAGCATGTTCTCTCTGCCAGAGCCCCACTACCTGTCAGGATTGATATCAAGAAATGGTATGTCCCTAATTAGCCAATTCAGTTGATATCACTAATATTAAGAAACAAGGAGTGTCCTGACTTACTGGCTTGAAAGCCCTTCAGTTTTGGCAAGCTGTTTTAATGCTCCGTGTTGCTACAGCACAGGAAAAAGGCAAACCCCCAGAATCAGTGTGATCCTGTTTCGTCTATCAGGAGCCCCTGTGATCACAGAGCATATTTCTCACCCTGCTCAACATTTTCTGCGGGAAGAGCTGACATAAGTTGGCAAGGACAGCAAGCATCCACTCCTCTAACCAGCATCAGGAGCAAATTCAAAGACTATTTGATAAAGTGAACCCGCATATGATCATAGCACCCCCCGGTGCTGTTCTGCATTCCTCCCCTTGGTGTTAACTACAGGCTGTGGTGTCACACAAAGAGAAGCCCATCCCTCACAGAAGCTGAACATGTTGCTAAGGCAGATCTATACAGCTTCTTCCTTTCAGTGATGTAACTATATGCTTTCTCCAAGGTGAAAAGGGAGCTTACTGAACACATAATCTATTAGCCGTATGTTCGCATTCATGCTATGGTATCAGGATTAAATTGGTGCCTGGTGTCTAAACCAGTGGATTTGGTGGAAGCAGAAAGCACTTGGTCCAACCATGTGGTGAGCTGTAAGACAAGGCAGAGTTAGCAGCATGCATGATGCATGCGAGAGTGCCTGTAATTTAATGGATGACTGCACAGAAATGTTCCCTGTGCAACTGTATGGATGTCTCCTATGCCTCCAGTCCAAAACTCTGATACCTTTCTTTTTTCAGGACCTTTTTTATATGATGGAATTCCATTATAATTTGCTTTGTGCTGCCACCTTTTTCTACCACCTAAAAAGTAAATCTTTACAGAAATGTGACTGCAGACCTGTTACAACTCAAGGACAGGTACAGAGAGAGGTTAGAGAAAAGGAATTGAGAAAGAACAGGGGTTTTTTTTAGTTTGTTGGTTGCAAATAGTTAGGTTCAGCAGGATGGAAGGTATCAGCCATCCAGTATCTGAAGGGGGGCTATAAGGATGCTGGGGAGGGACTACTCATTAAGGGCTGTAGTGACAGGACAAGGGGTAATGGGTTAAAACTTAAACAGGGGAAGTTTAGGTTGGATATAAGGAAGAAGTTCTTTCCTGTTAGGGTGGTGAGGCACTGGAATGGGTTGCCCAGGGAAGTTGTGAATGCTCCATCCCTGGCAGTGTACAAGGCCAGGTTGGACAGAGAGTTGGGTGATATGGTTTAGTGTGAGGTGTCCCTGTCCATGGCAAGGGGGTTGGAACTTGATGATCTTAACGTCCTTTCCAACCCTAACTATTCCATGATATGATGACAAACTGGATTTGCCCATCTAAGAGCCATTCCAGTCCCATGTTCTTCCTGGGCTCACTGTAATGAGCTGACTGGAGATACAGTGTTCACAAAGGAGACAAAGATGATTCAGTCTCACTTCATCTTTGTCTCATCTCTCCTCATGAGCTTCCTGCCTGTGGAGGCAGCTGGTGGAGCTGGAGCAGGATGCAATATATTGGCAGCACTGAAAATTGGGAGGCTTGTGTTTGAGCAGAAGTTCAAGCCCTGCGCTACAATGGCAGCACTCTGACTGGCATAGTCACCCTTTTCTGTCTCTGAGAGAATTAGAAAGGATGCAAAACCATGGTGTATATCCCATCCATGTTGCAGTCTGAGGCTGGGCAGGACAGTAATGATTCCTCCTGCATCACAGGCACCAAAAGAAATCCTCACCCCGATTTCAGCACCAGATTTTGGTTGAGATTTCTGATGTTTCTTATCAAGTCTTATATGTAACCTCAGAACACTTCCCCTTCTCCTCCGAAAGTTATGTGCTTGGGTAGCTTCAGAGAACAGTGGGCTGCTTGCCCATGTGCTTTGCCTTCCCCTGAATGCTGCTCTGACATATTTGCGTCCATGAGAATCCTAATTGCTTTAGGACAGTTGCATCCTAGCAGAGCATGTCTGCTTGGACGTTCCTGCATGATGCAGCTTCTTTGAGGGGTCTGATTCTGGGGTCAGCTGCAAACTTCCTCTCTGGAAGGGTGGTGGGGAAGTGGATTCAGGGCCAGCAGAAGTGAGGGAGTAGCATTGTCCCAGAGAGGTAGAAGTGAACCAGGGTGTAAGTGAGCCACTCCAAGAGGTGCTTCCTTCCTGGACCGGGGAGGGCAATGGTGTCCCTGATGCTGTGGCTGCCTCTTGAGGCATCCTTATGATTCGAGGGGAAGCCTGAGCTGGGGGGGGGGGGGAAGCTGCCTGTCTTCGCTGCCGGTACCCCAGAGACCCCGCACCGGGTGGTGCCACCGCCCTACCGGGGGGGCCCGGTCCGTGTGCTCGGCACCGATCTGAGGGTGGGGATCGGGATCGGGACCTGCGTGCCCCTCACCTGTCGCAGCAGAGGTGGCACATCTGGGCGACGTGCGGCAGCGCTGCCCCCCCCCTTCCGACCCCGGGGCGCAACAACTGTCTCCATGGCGACGGGGCGCGGCGGGGGGGCCGCGGTGCCGCCGCCCCGCCCCGCAGTACCGAGCCGCGGCGGAGCCGAGCGGAGGGCGGCGGAGCGGCGGGGCATGGGGCCCGGCGGGCGGCGAGCAGCAGCGGAGCTCTCGGCATCGGAGTGAGCGCTGCCGCCGCCACAGCCCCCCGGGAGAGACCTTGCGCTGTGCAGCCCGGCCCGGCTCGGATGCCACCATGGGGAGCCGCTTCTCCAGCATCCCCGCGCTGCCCCGCGGCGGCCAGGGCCGCCTACACCGCGCCCGCCACCACCGCCTCAAAGGTACGGCTCGGCCGGCACCCCCGGCAGGACGGGCACCCCCAGCATCCCCGGCGGTATGAACACCCGCGGTACCCTGCGGCATCCATATAACCCAAATCGGGATGGGTGCTGTAGGCACCCCGCGGTGGGATGGGTGCCCAGGCAGGGCACAAACCCTGGGCACTCCGGAGATCTCAAATTGGGAAGAGACGCCTAGGCACTCACAGCACCCTGAGGGATGTCGCTGGATGGGTATCCCGGGCACCTTGGGACAGGCTCGGTTCAGTGGGCACCTTGAAGTGGGATGGTTCCATGCCTGGCACCCTATGGCCTTTAGTGGTGTGGGCCCCCCTGCCCTGCTCCCAGACCTGCCCCTCATTCCCTGACAGTGCCCCATGGGTGGCTGATTGGTGCACAGGCTCCCCTGGCAGTGGCACCCCAGGATAGCAAGGGACAACAAGTCAGAGGAACTGGACCTCCAAAGAGCCCTCAGGTGTTTCTTAGTGGACAAAAGCTTTGCTTTGGTGTCTTTTCTGGGCGCTCCAGGAATATATCTATGTGAGTGAGATAGTCAGCCTTCTCTGGAGGAGAGCAGGGGGTATCTGGGGCTCCTTGTCCAGTTTGTTCTGTTCTTTACAAGGATCAAATCCCTTTTCTGAAATTCTGGGGCACTCTTGGAACAAATTGGATGGGGATCAAATTGTAAGGTGTGCAGGAGTGACTTCCCAAGGTCTCCTCTGACCATGCCCTTTTTTGCTCCCTTTTGCTATAAGCTGGGAGGGTCATAGCAGGAAATAACTTGTCATTCTTGAAAGGGATTTCCCTTTCACACACTGTAAGTGTTCAATGCTACCTGGCTACCTCTTCACTAAGCCCATTTTCACAGCCAAGAGCACTGGATGGTGAAACAGAGGGTGTCAGACATCTCTGTAAGCAGGGAATGAGGGAAGGTGCTGCACCCACAGCCATTTCAGATGATCAAAACTTGTTGCAGCTTCCCCAGTATGTTGCAGAATTTGCAGCCACGAACATGGAAAATAGGGATGTTGCTGTTCACCCTCAATTTACTGAGCTGTTGGATACTTTTTTGGCATGGTCATGGGGAGTGGAAATGGTTAATGATGAGCTGGGCAACTGGTTGTTATACTGAAGGATTTTCTGATACTCACATTGTTCTTCCATTACATCTCTCTGCTCCCTTCCTCTGTACTTGGATGATTTGAAACAGTTGTGTGAACTGAGGATGACTGTATCATGGCTTTTTGAATGATCATGTAAGGAGACACTAGGAATGCTTACTGCTCTGTGATGGACTAAGTTAGTCTGAAACTCAGACCAGACAATGGCTGTGCTTAAAATTAGACTTGCAAGGAGGGGGCTGCTGAACCCTAAACACTGAACCATCATCTTCTATCAATGCAAACATGAAGGCACACGCAATGCCGTAGTACTTGGTATGCAATTGTAAACTGCCAGGGAGGATTTGTCTCTTAAGAATCATGCTGTCAGCTAGAAATCTTTCTGGAATAACCTTAAGCAGATAAGAATTTATAAACTGGAGCCAGAAGGGACACTGCCACTTAATCCATTATCTGTGGCTTACGTGAGATTTTGAAGATGCTCTGCATGAATCACCTGATTTTTCTTTTTCGGGAATGGGGATGGGTGTTTGTTAATGTCAGTTTGTTTCTTTCTTTCTTCATTTCATTTACACTGTAATTACATTTCTACCTGTACTCGGGAAGCAAGCAGAAAGGTTCTTGAGACTGTAATGTAGCAGAACACTGAAATACTTCTGCTTTAGAGTAAATAGTTAACAACGCATTGCCTTTGTTGTAAAACCCAAGCAACTGCCAGGGACAATATGTGCCTTTTCTGTCTTTTTTTGAACCCGGGCTGCCTCAGGTCCTACGTTTAAATGCAGAATAAACAAGTCTGATTGCATCTGACAGGTTCCCGTAGAATGGTCTGGAGGCATAGCAGCAAAAGTATGAATGTCACACAGTTTTGTTACATATCTGCTGTTTAACAGTTTGTAAAGCATGTTTTAATTGAAGGTCCCCAGTTCTTCCCTCAGTATCTGGCCCAGTGTTAGGGATCTGTTGGAACAAGTCCAGAGGAGGGCCACGAGGCTGATCAGGGGCCTGGAGCACCTCCCATATGAAGATAGGCTGAGAAAGTTGGGGCTGTTCAGCCTGGAGAAGAGAAGGCTGTGTGGAGACCTCATAGCAGCCTTCCAGTATCTGAAGGGGGCATATAGGGATGCTGGGGATGGACTCTTCATTAGGGACTGTAGTGACAGGACAAGGGGTAACGGGTTCAAACTTAAACAGGGGAAGTTTAGATTGGATATAAGGAGGAAATTCTTTCCTGTTAGGGTGGTGAGGCACTGGAATGGGTTGCCCAGGGAGGTTGTGAATGCTCCATCCCTGGCAGTGTTCAAGGCCAGGTTGGACGAGGCCTTGGGTAATATGGTTTAGAGCGAGGTGTCCCTGCCCATGGCAGGGGGGTTGGAACCTGATGATCTTAACGTCCTTTCCAACCCTAACTATTCTATGATTCTATGATATTGAACTTTGATAATTTGGCCACCATCTATTACTTTCCTTCTGTGGTGAGGCCTCTTCCTAACCTGGTGGCAGGGGTGATTGAGGCTTATTCTTGCTAAAAGAGACACTGATTGCAATGTTTCCTGCATAGTCTGGGGACTCTGAAGTCAGTCCCCAAACCTTACAAGTTCACCTCTGCTGTGCAAGAAATAAGACCTCCACACACAGTAGAACTGTTCCCACATGTACTGGCAAATTTCATACTTTTCTGTTAG